ATCCAAGAGATGATAATAAATATGGTTCAATAGCCTGGGAACTCACCTACTGTCGTGAAAAACCTATAGGCTATAATGAAAGCTAGACTCAGGAAATGAATTGTTCATCAAAGCTATGTTTAATATCTAAAGTATAAATGTTTCACGATGAATAATTAAATCATGTATCAAAATCTTGTGGACTTAATTCCAAATTATTTAAAACAAATGACTGAAGCAATAGGGGGCCATATTACATACTAAGACTTTTTTTTTTAAAGATGTAAAAAGTTGATTATTGTAAAAGTCAATAAATTTAATTATTTTACTTTGTTCTGGTTAATTTATAGACCTCTGTTATTTGCTCCCTACCCATAAAATTCCACTTCCTACTTCCCCACTTATGTGTTGATTTTGTCATATACCTGGAATGCTTGCCCTCCTCACCACTTCTTTTTGGACTTCTTAGCTTTTTTCAGGTCTCAGCTAAATTGTCATACTCTTCCTGATCCCCCCAATTAAAGGTTTCCTTTCAAAAGTTCATTCTCATGTTCTCTCTCTCTCTCTCTCTCTCTGTATATATGTATACACACATACAATAGAAAGGTTAAAGTGCTAGATTCTGAGTCAGGGAGACATGGGTTCAAATCTTACCTCACAAACTTAATATCTGTATAACCCAGGAAAATTACTTAACCTCTGAGTTTTGGTTTCCTCATTTATGAAATTGTTATAATAGCAGAACCAACCTCACAGGACTGCTGTGTGGCTCAAATAAGATAAGGTGCAAAAAGCACATTTTAAACTCTGAAATGTTATTTAACTGTGAGATATTATTATTGACTCATCTGAGTAGATGTTATAGTCTTGGGTTGAAGGCAGAAACAGTGTTGATTTTGTCTTTGTATCCCCAGCTTCTGTTACAATATTTGGCATAAAACAGGTCCTTAATACATGTTTAATGAGGCAAAAGTAAAGGTTTCCACAGATTGCACCCCTAACCCAAGTCAGCTGACCTGCAAATGGTTCACTGTAGATAGTCACAAGTGAGGCCACTTTGGGCAATGGGAATAGAAAGCCACAAATCCCTTTCAATGAGTATGTGTTATTAATGAATACTTTATCATTGCTCAGCTTCCACTGTGTGACATTAAAGTTATCCTGGATATCTTTGAATAACTAAATCCATGGCATTTCATAAAAATATGCCAGCTAACTGGAAGTGTGGTCTCAAGCAAAGTCACTTAACCACTTGATCTCGATTTCCTCATCTATATACCACAAGAATTAGATTTTATCCCTAAAGTCTTTTAGGACTGTAACCTTCTGACTCTAAGATTCTCTTAAGGGGGGGATGAGGTTGGGGGGAGGGAGAAAACAGCCACACAAAAAAATCTTTCTCTTACCCAGAGGGTTTTTATAGTTAGTGTTTTTACTGTTAATATAATCTGGGGTTAGCATTATCACAAAATTGAGCCTCAGTCCCTTTCTAGTAAAAAATTGTTTAAGGATAAGTAAAAATTTCTCCCCCCCACCCATAGATTTAGCAGCCAATTTTAAAACAGATTCAATGCCAAACACAACCAGCAAAGCAAGGAAACTATGGTTCCAAGTCCTTAGGGCTCAATATTTTAGGACTTAGTGTGGAAAAGTTTTCCATAACCTGTTTCTAGAATCAGCTTTCCACTCTTCCACTTCAACTTCAAACATCACAGTGTGAAAAACAAAGAATACTTTTGCTGGCATTCTTGTGACCAAGTAGGGAAAGGAAAAAGTCTGTGTTGGTTGGACTAGTTAAGTCCGACTAGAAATCTTTCCTCTTTCCAAAATGGCTTTCTTTGGCTGTATCCATACTTGCTCTATTCATCTCTCCTTTCTCTGCCAAAATAAGGTGGAGAAAAAAGAAGTACATAATAAAAAATTCAAATAAATACGCCCACAGGGAAATATTTGGCAAATCCTATAATGCCATAAGGTACAAAAGGGATGGGCAAAACCAGTTTGTTCCCAATTTTTTTTAAGATGTGAGAAATAAGAAAAATACAGAATGTTAAAACTGGGGAAGTCTTGGGGATCATCTAGTCTTTCCCATTCATTTTTCAGATAAGCAAACTGAGGCCCAGTTGACCAAGGTTTATTCAAGTCTAACCCAGGAGGAACTAGAACCCAGGTCTTCTGACTCCTAGGGGTCATATATTTTGCATTTACTTATGTAGTCCCAGGGGTTACATAAGTTGGTGAACACAATAAGCATTTATATAGTGCCTACTACATGCCAGGCACTGCACTAACCACTTTGCAAATATTATCACATTTGATCTTCAAAACAACCCTTTGAGGAAGATAATAGTATAGTACTGTTTTCACTAACCCACCCTATAGGATATCATGAGCCAAGAACACCAATAACTACAAACTGCAGCTAATAAGCACAGACTGATTCATTGACAGGGCTCCATAGTCTTCAGTATATGTAGGACAAATTTTAAGTGATTGTAAATAAGGCATTTCACCAGAGGAAAGATGCCCTCAGTGGGTTAGCTATCTGTGACAGGACTATAGATAAATAGGATTCCAGTATCAGTCTGTCTTCCTCTCTCTCTCCAGGCACAGTGCCTGGCTCATAGTAAATACTTAAAAAATACTTGTTTTGCTTCCTCCCTTCCTCCTTTCTTCCCTCTTTGCCTCCCTCCTTCCTTTCTCCAGTAATTTTAACCTCCTTGTACCTAGGATCCAGCCCTAGAGTAAAAAAGATAGGTGAGGAAACTCACCAGCTAAGTCCTGCACTCGGAGCTAGACACAGTTCATGTGAAAGAAATCTGAAGTTTTTTACAAGACCACAAGTTCAGTAGCATTCAAAAGTAAGTCATGGCAGCCCAAAAAGCTAGTGCAGTCTAAAGCTCAACTGAGAGAAGTAGAGTGTTCAGTTATAGTCCTGTGGTGCTCTGTCCTGTTCAGATCCTAGAAGACTGTTCAGTAAGGGGATATATACACACAAGCTGGAAACTGTTCAGAGGATTATGAACAAGTTGGTAAAAGGCCATGTCATGAGGGCCAGAAACTATGGCTATTTAGCCTGCAGAAGAGAAAGTGCTTAATAAACACTTGATGGATTGAAATGGATTGGAGGGGGAGAGGAGGAGGCAGAGAAGAAGAGTGCAGTAATTGACATGCAATCACTTGAAAGAGGGATTTTACCTGATTTGCTTGATTCAGAGACCAGAACTTGGAGCTGAACCCACATTTAAGCTCAATAGAAGGAAAGACTACCTACCAATTAGAACTACCCAAAAGTAAAACTGATTGTCTTGGGAGATAGAAGATTCCCCTCCTCACTAAAGAAAGGTCTTCAAGCAAAAACTAGAAGGCCAATGCTTCACTTAAATCCAATTCACTTGCATGTCATGGCATTGCCTCTCTGATGTCCCAGTCCTCTTCAAGAACGAAGGATAAATGACAAGACCACTAACGATCACTTGTCTTAATGTTATAAAGGGGATTCCTGTAGCTGGATTAGACAGCGTTTGAGATCCCATGCAATTTTATGATTCTGTTTTCAAATGTGTACAGCATTATTCTCTGTAGGGAAACTCTGATTTAGGGGTGTGGTTTTAAATAAAAGTCTGTCTTGTTATAAAGAAGAGGTTTTTTTTTTATTCCTTCAAGGGAGGAGATTTTGTGCCTGGGCGTCGGGAAGGGGGTGGTTTTTAGGGACAGCCACAAAACAGAGCAAACGGAATAGGTCTATAACCATTTTCATTTAACCAATTCTCCAGTGGCTGAGGATAGTTTGTTGAGAGTTCAAGCCCCTTCCTCCTTCAGGCTGCCAGCTCATTATCATAGCTTTACAGGACCTCAAAGGCCATTTAATCCAACCTCCCCCTTATTTTACAGCTGAGGAAACTCAGCCCTAAGAAGACTCAAGATTGACTCAAGGTTACACAGGCTGTTAAGTATCTTAGGTGGGATTCGAACCTAGCAGCGCTGTGTCCAGGATCACTGTTCTTCCACACTGCCTCTCTGATTACAGATATGAACAAGTACAGTACCTCTGATTATTACAATGCCTCTGATGCAAGGGCCAGAATGGGATTCACCACCTTCCCAATACAGATAAATTCTTTCTTTGTTGGGAAACTAATATCCCTTGAGTTGGTAGGAAAGTGGTTACTTAGCCATCACAACTTAAGCCCGGAACAGTTCAAATAGTATGAACATCCAAGAGTTTTCCTAAGCAAATCCTTTCTCAGTCTTTCTCATTATTGGCCAACCTATTCAGTGGCTCCTGAGGATGTTTTAGGGACTCCTTTGATACTGTTATCTCCGGCTACCCTGATACCACTTTCTTTCTTGAGGTCCTGGTCTGCCACAACCCCCAAAAGGGTGGGCAGAAGAAGAGCCCAAAGGGCACTGCCAGCAAACTTCCCATGAGCTCGGAGCAACTTCGAGGTGAACACCGATGTCCCTCCGCACTGCCCCTACCCCCAAGACAGCCAGTCAATAAGCATTTATCAAGCGCCTATTATGTACCAGGCACTGTGCTTAAGCTCTGGCAAATACAAAGCCCAAAAAAACTGAGGATTTAGGTGCTGCCTCTGCAAGTATTTCGGACTCCTCTGCCCTCCCCGCTATCACCTCAGTCTCCTTCCCTGCCATCCACGGCCCCTTCCTCTCTGGAGACGACAACTTTCCAGAAGCCACCGAGGAAATTGTCAGGCTTGGGGCGAGGGGGAGAACGGGGGCCGCAGCTACTTAGCAAGAGCTTGAACAGCGGGCAAAGGTGCAGAGACCCCGGAGGGGGGGGGCAGCAATTGCGCCCCGTGCTCGCGCCTCCCTCACCCCACCAAAAAAAGTTTCCGCTCCCCGCAATAGTCAGCTCCTGGGAGGGGAGGGGGAACCCAAAGTTCCCCAGCATCTCTTCCTCCTTCCCTTAGAGCCTCGACCCCCGCCCCTGCCCCGACTCCCCGGGGAAAGGGCACGGAGCGGGCAGGAGCCTTTGCAAACTCCGAGGAGCACGTCACCTGCTGCAGCAGGAAGCTGGTCCCTCTCCCGGGCCGGGTGGTGGCTCTTTCGGGCTGCCATGCCGGGCTGCTGGAGGGCGGGCGAGAGCCTGCTTAGCGCCAGTTCGGGGTGCAGCCGCCTGCCGCCGCCGCTCTGCCTCCCATCCCCGCGGGGCCGCCACCTCGGGGATCTGCTGCCCGCGCCTCTCGCAGCCTCCGCTAGCTTCGGGCCGCTGCGGTTCCCTCCCGGGGCTCGGTGAGCCGCCCTTCCTGGCCTCTCACTTACTCCAACAGACTGGACGAGCAGCCAATCAGACCCCGCCTTTCGGAAGAGAGACAGAGGTTGGGTGTGTCCTAGAGCAGCACCTTGTGCTCTTTTGTTGGGGTGGTGGTGGTGCTCGGGGTGTTTTCCTGCCTCGCCCAGAGGTAGGGCTAGGTTTCCAGCCCCTTAGAATGCTTTCTCTTTTTCCAAACTGAAGAAGCCCATGTATCCTCTTACATGAGAAAATGTCTTGTGAATGCCCAGACTCCTCGTAGGTAGAACAGACAAGACCTGCTCAGTCTTATCTGGCCCAACAAAGACTGCCCTCGTGGGTGTTTCCCTGGGAACCTTCCTCCTGACATCCATCACTTTTTCTGAATGACTAGTGTGGTGCTCGGTGCCTAGCCTTGGGGTACAGTGGAAAGAGCACTGGTTCTTCAGTCAGTGGGCTTAGGTCCAATTTCCATGTTCGACAGCTTTCTTTCTACCTGTCTAACTTTGTACAAATTGTTTAACTTCCTTGGCTATTAATTTCCTTAAGAGAGAGGGCTGGACAAACTGGCTTTTAAGGTCCCTATAACTCCAGATCTCTGATCCTGTGGTCTTTCTAGAAAGGAAAACGCCGGGGATGCTGCTCGGAATGTTAGTGGATTTTTGTAATGTTCTCTTCTCTGTTATTTATTTTCAATTAAACTAATCTGAAATTCTCGGGGCTACAGTAGAAGGCAAAACCAATGCTGTGATCTTTCCACGAAATTAGATTCCACACTCAAATTTCTCATTGTTATTTTCCACTAGATCAGCAGAAAAGAATATAGTTTTAGTAATGTCTACAGCAGTCACCTTTGTAATCTAAAATTCCCTTTGTGTACGGGTGTATGTGCCACCTGGGTTTCCCTGAGGCAAGAAAAACACTTTAAAAATTAACCCCATGGTAAACTACTTTGGTAAAACCACCAGGGATGACAGAGAATCAAATTATTTAGCAGATTCAACAGTCAAAAAAAAGTCTTGAAACAAACTTCTTTCATCTTTCTCTCCCCAGACAGATGGAATCCTTGAGAGAAGACAGATGGAAGAAAAATGAAAAGTTCTAGTGGATATATCTGCATTCTCCATCACATACAATTTCCCAAGACAAAAAAGAAAAGAAAAAGGACTAGATTTTTGGCACCTACTGAAACAGATATTTCATAATTGAAGAAAGATTTGTTAACTCGTTTGCATTTTACAACTAAAGACAGTGATTTGAGTCAATCTTTCCCTTCTGAGACTGAGAACTGAGTGGCTTAAGGGGTAATGAAGATAAAGAATTGGTGCACTTTGTTGTTGTCTTTGTTGTTGAATGAAAGATAATGAAAATGTAGCCAAGCTCCACTTTTTGTTTAGGAAAAAAATTCTCCCAACCAATCAGGATTTAAGGTCATCAGGATAGTTTTCAGTTTCCATAAACCACCCGTTGCATGCATGGAGCCACGTAGCCAGGACAAAATGGATATGCCTTAAAGATACTGTTTCTAATTAAACCTAAACAGAGCTGTTAGTAATGAAATTCTAAAGTTCATTTGAGAAGTAGGAAAAAAAATAGAGCTAATTTTTCTTTGTTATAATAAAATAAAATTTACTTACATCTGGTAACAGCTGAACTAATTACTCTAATTGGCCAGTTTTCCCCTCCTACCAGATGATATTTATTAGTCTAGTTGCTTGTGATTTATCTGACACCAGTGTACTTAACTTAATCTTTCATGATTAAGAGTTTTTATTGTGCAGATTGAAGCCTATTATATCCGTGGTTACTAATATGTTTATCAAATTTTTTATAAATACCCTATTACAGGACATTAATGACACGTGCATCCTAAAAATTATGAAAACAACTCAAAAACCAGCCAAAGAGACTAATAGAGTTTCAATATTCATGTAATGATTTGAAATATAAGTAGGTTTTACAGCAATGGCTTTTAGTATATCCTTGTTCCATATATCCCCAAGTATATACAGAAAGTTTCCAAAGAATGAAAGTCTTTTGGAAAAAACAAATAACTTTTTGGTCTATTTCTATAATTGAGAACTGAAGTGAACCATCAGTGGAGAAGGGGACAATGATTAAGAAATAAAGTTTCCTTTGGCTTTTTCCCTTTCCTTTTTGTTCTTTCCTCTTTTGATTTTCCTAGACTCCATGTTCTTCTTTCTTACATTATGCTGACATTTTCACAGTAAGCAGTTATTTCTGCTGGCAAGCTGCTTCTGAAGACCACAATGTAGGTATGTGGGCTAGAGTTATGATGTCTGGAAATGTGGCAAAGTAGACACCCACGATCAGAGCTGACCAGCATGCGAAGTGTCACTAGGGATCAGGTAGGCTAACTCTTTCATTTGACGGATGAGGAAACATAAATACCATGTTGTCTGAAGTCACAGAAGTAGTATGTTGCAGAACCAATATTTCAGCCCAGATCTCTCTGTGCCAAACCATCTATAGTTCATATTTATCAGAGGCTTCTGTGGCTGCTGACAAGTCCTGAAATAGCATAGGATAAAAAAAAAACCCCAATTATGGCATTTACTAATACTCCAAATTTAGAGTAATATAATTCAGAAAAGCAAAGTCAGAGCGCTGGATTATGTCAACAAGCCAGTCCAAATCCGGAAATTCAATGAGTGCAGAATGAGCACTACCAAAAGCATATTCTATTCCAGTTAAAACATTTATACAACCATTACTTAGAAATCAAGGTTACAAAAGCATCAGATTATAAAAGCTGAGCAATTTATAGTGGGTTTAGAGTCAGGAGACAGGTTCAAATCCTACCTCTCACCTACACCACCTTGGGCAAGTTATTTTACTTCTCTGGGTCTCTGTTTCCATAACTAACTCTGTAAAATACAAGAGTCAGACCCTATGACTTTTGAGGTTCCTTCCGGCTTAAAATCTGTTTTATATTCTCTTGGACAACTGCCAAGACTCTTAAGCTATTTTGACCACTAGAGCTAATTGTGAAATGCAAATTTTACTTCCTACTACTGCCAATAATTAGAAAATCTTGCATTTCTACAGTGCTTTGAAGTTTACAATGGGCTTTCCTCATGGCAGTCCCACCAAGGGATCCTTTTGTGTTACTTGAGGAATATTCTATAATATCTAGTCAAACTTGCAGCTAAACATAACTATTGGTATACTAATAATGATTAGTCTTTTAAACTATGAAAACTTAATCTTAAGTATTGTTGTTTAGTCATTTCAGCTCTGTCCAACTTTTCATGACCTTATGTGAGGTTTTCTTGGCAAAGATACTGGAGTGGGTTGCCATCATAATTTTGATAATGACTTCAAAGGAGTGCATTTCCTGGCTGTAAGCACCTATGAATCTTAAAACCCATGATTTAAGGAGGAGCGGGAAGACTGGACCTGTGATTTTATTGGTCTAGGAAACTTCTAATGAGGAAACTCTCTCTACCAGAGCAAATCAGCACCTGCTCTTCAATTTATAGCCTTAGAGAGTACCTCGGATCAAATGATTTGCCCAGGTGTAATCAGTATCTGTCCTGTCAGAGGAGGGGTTGTTTGTTTCCAAATACGTAAATAATACTGTCACTGTTAAGATACAGATTGAAGAAAAATCAGAAAAATGCTTTGTTTAATACCTCATCATGCTTTGTTACCCTCATTTCAAACCCTGTGAACTACTTTACATGAAACCCTGTGAACTATTTTAGTCTTAAGTTTTGACAGCAAAATCACAAAGAGACAGCCTTACCCACTGGAAACAGCTGGCTAGAGACAGCCTCTGCACAGTGTCTTCCTTCTCACTCCCAATGATACTTAATCCCATAAGTAGTTTTTCATTCCTTGGTTTAAAATCTTATCTTCTAGGGAGTTGGCTTCAGATTCGAGAACTTGGGTTTAATTACTGCTTCTGACATATACTGGCTGTGTGACTTTACCTCTTAGCGCCCCGGGTATCTAGCAAAGACTATAAATTACAAATATTTGCTGATCTGCCTTAGTAGAGAGAGTTTCCTCAGCAAAGAAGGCTCCCTTTATAAAGGTAGGGACCTCTCCCCCCTCATCAAAACAAAAGCAAATATTCCTAGAAGTAATAACATATTAAACCTTTTCAGTAATTAGAATGAATTTTCCATCTTCCTTCTTAAGAGCAAAATACGCTTTGATAAAGGGAAGTAGGGAACTCTGGGGTCTTGTAAAAGAAGGAAGGAGGAAGTACTATGGAGGAGGGCAAAGGGAACAGAAAGAAGAGGTATGTGGTGAAGGGGGCAGGGCAGTCCTATGGAAACAAACTGCCTACTTCACAATTTTCACAATTCTCCATGTGGCCAGCCCCAAAATTACCAATGCTTTTCTTTGACAAGTGGTTAATTCTTATTCTCTCCTCAAACACTACAGACTATTTTATAGGTCTTGGAAAGTTCACAATCCCAAGTTCATCTTCATGTCCTCCTTTGATGGATAAGCCTCCAGAATCCATGGGTGTCTTGTCTCTTCGTCTAGTGTCTGAGTAGTGAGACAGAACTGGACTTTTTTGAGAGAATAACCAACTGGGAAAGATTATATTTCCTGCTTCACCTGTGGCAAGCTTTTAAAATTTTTTCTGGAAGCCACAAAAGCTTCTCCAAACAGAACGCATACAAAGGAAAGCAAACGTTTACAGCCTAACCTGGCAAAAAGAGTCAAGGGAGAGCTGATCTCCATCTCCAAAGAGAGGAATATGTATGAGAGGTCTTACCAAGTTTGCAGCACCAAAAAACAACCAAACATGATTCCTATTGTTGCTAATGATTTTCCCCCCCATTTGTTTGCTGTAAATATTCTCTCTGTAGTAAAGATGAATATATTTTCTTACAGTTATTTTTTTTGGACTAGAGTTGCCATTTCATTGGGTAAAGGGAACTCCCTCTACCAAATACTTGTTGATACCTGCTCAGCAACTTGCGGTCTTAAAGAATTGCCTACAGCACTGGCACTGAGAAGTTCAGTAATTTCCCTGGGGGCCACATGTCAGAGGTAAGACCTGAAC